AATATGCGTTTTACCTCGGTGCAATTTTGTCGGTCTTGTTTTAACCTGTTATTTTTTTGCCTTCCTCTTCTGTTAATCTAAAGCTTCTCTTATGTGTGAATGTGTAAGTGAGGGTAAGGAGCGAAAGTGAGAGAGGGAGAGGGAGAGGGAGAGGAGAGAGAGGAGAGAGAGAGAGAGAGAAAGGAGAGAGAAGAGAGAGGAGAGGAGAGGGAGAGGGAGAGGAGAGGGAGAGGGAGGGGAGAGGGAGAGGGAGGAAGAAGAGGGAGAGGGAGAGGAGAAGGGAGAGGGAGGAGGGAGAGGGAGAGGGAGAGGGAGAGGGAGAGGGAGTGGGAGTGGGAGTGGGAGTGGGAGAGTGGGAGTGGGAGTGGGAGTGGAGTGGAGTGGGAGTGGAGTGAGAGTGAGAGTGAGAGTGAGAGCGAGAGCGAGAGTGAGAGGAGAGAGTGAGAGTGAGAGCGAGAGAGAGTGGAGTGAGTGAGTGAGAGTGAGAGTGAGTGAGAGCAAGAGCGTGAGGAAAGTGTGAGTTGTTATCCATTTACCTTTTGATTGATTTACTATACATTTATTTCTTTATCTCCGCTTGAATTAAAAGAATTAATCCAGGAATCAGCATGTGGAAAGAGGATGCAAAAAAAACTAAAACAAATGGTGTCTTACAATACTGCATTTGAAGCATCAGAAGACAGGAGAATAGTTTGAAGTTAAAAATCTTGATAAAACATCAGAGGGCGATTGAAAACTCAAGTGCCTGAATTTCTGCAGAGGAGTGACAGGAAAAGCAAGCGACCCGAAGATCACTCTTCCTAATTTCTAAATATCTCTGCTTTAATCTTGACATCCACCATATCGGTCTCCTTTACGAAACCCAGGCAGTGAGAGAAACAGTAGATTAGAGGTTGACAACCGATGTAGTAAATGACATAAGAGAAATTTTCTTTTTATCTACATTTCTATTGCTAACATACACGTTATACATTATTTTTCTTTTTTCCTATCAAACATTCCCCTATCCACCTGGATATTCACTTGTATTTGCCCACATAGAAAATACAAAATGACCTATAGATTATGAGATGACTGGACATTACGATGTATTTCCGGCATGCAACATTCAACAGAAGTGTCTATACTCTCTGCATAGCAATATATTCATTCATATTTTGCACAGCACCATTTGCTGTCTTTTTTTTTTGAAAACTGCAATTAAAACTTAACATCTACAAGGACTGATCAAGACAATATCTGCATGACTTGTTATAACCTATGAGGATGCCAAGAGAAATACAACAATGTTAAATCTCATTCTATGATGTTAAAAAAATAAGAATGGGCACTTTACTTCAAATTACAGCAAATTCAGTTCATTGAACATTTCACTAAATGCAAACTATGGAATATATAACAGGAAGAATTCAAACAAAAAAAATGGTAAAACTGCCTTCATAGGTAATGAGATGATCTGGACATGTGAACCCAATATTCCTGTTACAACTATAGATAATAAATGCATGATAAAATTTATATTACTTGAATAAAAGTCTATGAGAAATGGCAACATGCAAGTAGAACTATGATAATAAAGATAACAATAACCAAATTAATCAAATTACACATCAAATGCTAATGCAATGTTTGTAAAAATAATGTTCTGTGCACGCATATTCATGTGTTTACATAGAAATTATTGGGGTAATTTGTTTTATAAATTGTGACATAAAGATCTTTATCATTTGTGCACCAAAATCAAAATAAGTTTTTTATGCAATTTCAATGCCATACTAAACTTATTACATAATATTTGAGGTTCTAGCTTCATCCAACCTAATATTAATTTAAGTTAAACATTTACAAACTTATCATACTTCCACACTTACTTACAAACTCAGGAAAATTCAAAACACTTCCACTCACAGATAAAACTTCATTTGCCAGTGATTTCAAATAAATTGTGAACTTAAATAACATGTACCTCCATGGTTAATGAAAAAAAAACTGTCTTTCAACTGCAAATATATATCTATTTCCAAATCAACTGAAACAGACAGGATATTTTGGCATGCATCCTGTAGTAAGATTATCTTTATCAGTATGAACAAAAAACATTCACCTGGGTAAACTATACAAAAATCAATAATCAAAAATGTTCTCAAGTTGATTTATAAACAAAAATCCTTTAAAAAGTTTGCAATCAATATTTCCTAACAACCAAATTAATTTCCCTATACAGAAGTTGCTTGCCAAAATACATCTTTATGAGTGCTTCTACAATATCTAGAAGAAATGCTTTAATATGTAAAAGGCAAACAATGATAATACCAAAGATAATATCTAAGAAAAGTAAGTGGCAGTGAAAAGTGTGTCCTCTCTGAAAAGAGAGAAAAAAAAAAAGTGTGTCCTCTCTGAAGAGAGAAAAAAAAAGTTGGTAAAAATATCGTACAGAGTATGTCGCATGTGACCTATACAAAGATTATAAAAAAATCTCTGAGGTATATGCAATTTTCTT